CCCCAAAACCCCAAAACCCCGTAAATATAAATTGGAAAAATAAAAATAAATAGGGTTAAATAAAACATAGAGAATTTTAACGAGATTTATAAACGTTCTCACTTATTATATTCTACCTCTTCCTCTTTTTCTTCGTCAAATTTAATATGTTTCATATCAGTACTTTTAGCAGAATTTACTTTTTATTGTTACTTTCTCTTCAATGATTGACTTCGACTAAGATCAGACTTGTCATTAGCTTCTATAATATAAACTTCATTAATTTACTTTAAGACTAAGAGTTATATGTTTTGTTATCTTCCTCCTAGATTTATTTGATCTTTAATTGATCCTAATCAGATAAACTTTATGGTGGATTTTCCCTGAATATCTCAAATCTTCCACATACTAAGAAATAAATTATCATGAATGAGAAGATTGTAATTGCCATAATATCCTATGCTGTTCTAAAACCATAAAGATCTTCAAATAAGGATCCTAGAACGGGGCCTAAGCTTTCACCTATACCTTAAGAAGCAATAAATAAACCACTGACATTGTTGCTTAATTCATCCTCATTAATTGCAGTAAATCTTTCTTCAGCTGATTCAATCATATCTGGTAGGATTGGAATAATAATCATACCACAACCGAATCCTACGATTGCTAGGCCTAAGATTATAAAAGCAGGGGAGTTATATAATCCTAAAATTTTTGAGGGGCCCACAAGGAACATTCCAGTTGATAGAATTAAATAGCCAATAAAGATTACACCAGACTTTCTCATTTTGGAAGTCATTACATAAATAAGTGGGCTTGTTGATGCATAAATTAAAGTTGGAATTGCAAAGCTAAAGCCGATATATACTGCATTATAGCCGAATTTTTCTAAATGTAGAGCTAAAATTGGTTGCAAGAATGTGATGGCAGAATAGACCAGAATTTGTGATATTAGTCCCATAGCAAATCTTGGAATTCTTATCACATCCCCTGTGGTTAAAACCTTTTCAGCCTATAATTGAGCTTCAGGATTTTGAACTTAATGCTCTTCCTGTGATTTCTTTTTCTTTTCAGCTTCACTAATCTAAGCAAGAGTATAAGCTATCAAGGGATATATAAAGAAGTAAACAGAAGCTACATATTGTTAAAAAAGTGCAAATAATTACAAGTTGCAAAGAATGGTAAAGTATAGCCTCCAATTTAATAGAGAATAGCACCGAAAAAAGGGCCGAGTAGAAGTCCTATCCCGGAAGAAGCTTCCATCATTCCTATTGTTCTCTCTCTTTAATCTTTATAATGCCTTGAGACTATAGCCATGGAAGAGGTTGAATTTATTCCTGCACCAAGACCGCAAATAAATTTCCAAATAAATGAAAATACTACGAAACTGGTCTTATCATGCACATATTTTAGAGAACCTAAACCAAGCATTGAAACTATCTAATTTTTTGTTAAGCAAGATTATGCTAAATCTTACAATTAACAATACTCCAAGTATCATTCCAGTTGATCTGCCAATTCTATGAAGTAGCTTTCCTGTAATAAAAGAGGAGAATATAAATGTCAAAGCTTAAGTTCTAATAATGAGTAAAACTTTAAAATTACCCCATCAGAAATCCTATGTAGATTACATCGATGTTTTTCTCTTTTACTTCAAGCGGATAAAAAGGAGCTATGAGCGAGAAACTTGCATTCGAAAGCAAAGTAATGATACACAAGCAAAATACTACTTTGTCCACCATAAAAATTTATTTGAATTATTTATTTAAAATATACAATAAAGTTTAACTTTTATTCTGGTAATCTAGCTTTTTGGGGTTTTGGGGTTTTGGGGTTTTGGGG